CAGGAGTTGATGGCCCGCCATCGCATCAATCGCTCGAAACTACTTCAAACAGGGCAAGGTGGACAACCTTCACTATGTCACTATGCAACCGCGCCACTTGTAATGAGAAAATGGGATTCCACTATGGGCGGACCTTGAAAAATGCAGCAAACACCTGAAAAAACTATGTTTTTGTGTAGTACAAACCATGGTTTTCCTAAAGTTTTTTTTGTAAACCAACCCAATGATATGTGGGTTCACATCTGAGAATCAAAGATCTGGAACAGATAACTTCTGGTAAACATTCACAGTTTGCGAACTTGAAAATGGATATAGACATAGTGGATTAAGCCATTAATAGCATGCTGATGTTCCATATCAATCGCCATTTTCCCATGGTTTTCCCATTAGTTTACCAGGCCGGCTACATCTACAAAGAAATCTGCACCTGAATCATCCTCAACTCGTCGTTGGATCATACGACATGAACAATTTCACATCGACCATGATACACTCATGGACACAATGATCAGTGGGAGATCTTCAGGATTCTAAAATGGAGGTACTGTACCATATAAGGCCATATTTTCTGGGGATATCCCCTGAAATTTAAGCCTTGTATAGGCCTTATGTATGGTAGGTACCTCCAATTTAGGTTCCTGACATGGCCATTGACATGATACCCGGCCTGGTAAACGTTCACAGTTTGCGAACTGGAAAATGGCCAGCTATAGTTCGTTGATTTACCGAACTTAAAGTGGTGATTTTCCAGTTCGCAAACTGTAAACGTTTACCAGAGGGTAACCGACATAGTTTTTAAACCTGATTCAAAACCATCCAATTGATGACGTTTCAAAAAAATGAAAAACTCTTTGTGTTTTCACATAGTGCATCTCGGTTATCTCGGCTTACAGCATGTTTGCAAACCATCCCCATTGATGCTTCATGTTGAATTACTGAAACCATTCGGGTCATCCAACATCAAAGAATCCACGTCGCAACCTTTGCGACATCGGAAGGCACGGCAGACATCGGCGGCAGCCGTCCACTCTGAAATTTTGCCGGCGAAGCACCGGCGCAAAACGAAAAAATGCACGGCTGATGCTTTCAGCATCTGAGCCTCCCGCAAAAGAAGTACGTCCATCGCCGGTGTTTCGAAGTGGGAGAGCAAGAGCCAACAACCGCAGTGGAGCGAGGATTCATAGCTTGTCGAAATCTGCAAAAATGAAACATCTCCAATAACTACTTGGAACTATGGTTAATGGGGTTTATAAACCATTTTAATAACTGAGGGGGGCATCACATTCCTGACACTACTCGAAACCCTTTGATGAAGGTCTCCAGCAATTGAGCAGTGGACCAATTCCAGGCTGAAAGGATGTACGCAGCAACCCTACAGCAACAAATATCTGGAAAAAAATACAGCAACGTCAAAAAATCCGAAACTAAGCCCTTTTGGATGCTTCCTACTTCCAATCATATAATTTGCGGTGAGGTCATTCTGAGGTCGCTATAATTGACACCTTGAGAAGAGTAGGAACTGAATGGTTGCTAGATCTTCCCATTATAATTCACGTTGCAGAGCATAACCACCAATGATTTACCCGTGGGCCCGTGTTTTTTTGCAATGACACACTGAGAATACCCAAACTACCAGACAGTCATTGGCTGACTTTATGGCATGGTTCAAGCATACATACTCAAACATGGGGTACCAATTGAACCACAACTATCACTATCAATATTTCACTACTAGTGTGGGCTCTTGAGCCGTTGCCATATGTTCATGGGAAAATGAAGAATGGCACTTGCTATGAGAAAATCACGATGCCTTTGCTCCAAACCAAATTTGCCACGAAGTGAAAGCCCGCAGTTTTAAGGTGGTTTATAACCCCATCCAACTATAGATATATACCATATAAACCCTAGTTATTGTAAATCAAATTCGCTATCTAGAGGGGGGCCACCTTACAGAATTACGTTAACTGTTTGGGTTGTGATGCCGAAATGACATTCCAACTGGATGTTTTTTTTTACATCACCCAACAAACATAAAATTTGAAGCCACATGCATCCCATCAAACCCAAATCAGATCCTTTGATATTTGGTTACACACCATGGTTTAGCATAAAGAAAGAAATCATAACTGGTTGGTGGTTTTAACCATCTTGAACAATATTAGTCAATGGGAAGGGTTGTCTCATATATTATGGAAAATAAAAGCTATGTTTGAAATCACCAACCAGATAAAATGGGGTACCCCCCAAATCATCCAACATTAGACCATTTTAGTATTGAACCATATTGAACCTTATAGTTTTGGGGATCCCCCATTCCTAAGAAACCCCTACATGCAGGTTGCCTCAAAACCCCTACATGCAGCTGACTTCAGCTCCCTTCAGCCAGGGATCCAGTCCATTGGCAACAAAACAAATCACAAGCTGGACGTGGTGCTTCTGAGCCCAGCATGAGGCCACTGAAAAGTTGGAAAACAGATAGGACAGATGCAAAATAAAGGGATTTCACATGATTTCACCATATTTCACCTGCAGCCGCTTATGTCCCCATCAAGTATGGTATGAACTAGCTTCATGGGTTGATTCCAGAGAAATATGCAGGAAACCATCAATATATGTGGGTGCAAATGCTGAGCCCTCTGTGCTACCATGCGAAAAGTAATCATTACATCACATCTTACTACTGTAATTCCAAAGAATCACCAACAGGGCACCCACTTGAGGGTCTCCCAGCCCTACCCCGATTTCATTTTACTTAAGCACTCTCACAGCGCGCACGCTCACAGCGTCCCAGTTGAGGGTCTCCGGCCCTACCGCGATTTTGTTCTCTAAGCACTCTCACAGCGCACGCTCTCACAGCGCACACTCTCACAGCGCACACTCTCACAGCGTCCCCACTTGAGGGTCTCCCAGCCCTACCCCGATTTTGTTCACTAAGCACTCTCACAGCGCACTTGATGTTTTCACAGCTCTACCCGTATTTTATTCACGAAGCACTGTCTCGGCGCTCTCACAGCGCATCTACTTTATGTTTTCACAGCCCTACCCGTGTTTTATTCACTAAGCAATGTCACAGCGCACTTGAGTGTTTTCACAGCCCTATCCCTATTCACTGCTGGAGTTTCTCCTGCCGCTCTTGATTTTTGGCTTAAGAGAGCCGCTTGCTGCTGCTGCCATTGTCCCAACTGCTGTTGATGGTGGATGTGTTGCTCCTGGTTCAGTATGTGCAGCGCTCTTGCTGCTTCCCTATGCAGCACTGTTTGTTTTTGCCCTCGTCTTTCGCTTGTGGCCGTGGCCGTCCCTTTTGCCTGCTGGACCATTGCTGGCAGTGACGGTGGTGCCTTTGGGCTGATTCGATCTCCGTTGTTTCCGGATTTTATCTGTGTGCGTTTGCTTTTCACATGTTTCACTTGTTTCCATATGTGTTTCCATTGTTTTCCCTATGTTTCCATACGTGTCCATGTCACATTCCATATGTTTCCATGTCGTCTAGCATTTGCCAATATGTTGAACAGTTTTTAATTTGTTACCGTTTTCCTAGTTTGTTTCTATGTGTTTTCCATATCAATCCAAATGTTTCCTGTATATGTTAATTTGTTTTGCAGATTAAACATGTTCACTTGTATTCAGTTCACACGATCTATATTTCTCAGCATGTTTTCCAAGATTGGTCAATAAGTTCTCCACATGATTTCACATATCCCAATGCTTTTTCGGAAAAAATCCTTCCCCAAAATGTTGTATACCGCCCTAGCAACCACGGCTTAGTACTGGCTCTATTAATTTTGGGGTCCATAGGGGGAATATCTAATATATGAGGGGAATGGGATCGGCCCAATAGTAGATGGTTAAGATTCGTACTTGTATTCGTGGTTGTTGGTGGTTAATAAACCTTCAATAGACCTTCTTGGGGTCCCCACGAATGATATCAATCATTTCAATGACCTTAGATATACACAGATTGATATGAACAATAACCATTAAGATATGATCAAAACCAATTTGGGACTGGATTATGTGTTCATATACGGTAACTACATTTAAATGTACAGATTTTTAAATATACGAACAGGTATTTTAGACTACCTCCGGGAAGGTTTTCCTTGGCCCGCCCAGCCATTTAAACATACGGAATCCAATTCATTTAAACATACTGCAACTACATTTAAATATACGAACTGGTATTTCATATTACCTCCAGGGCCTCGCGGTCTGGCCAGCCCTCCAGGGCCTCGTATGCTCCATCTTTGTAAAATTGTGAAAGGGGGTTCCACATCGCTTGAACTATTTCCCAAGTATGTTCAATAATGTATTTCATATTTCCATATTGTCCAATGCTGTCCCCTCTGTTTTCCATATGTCTGTAGTTAGCTAAGTCGGTGAACACAACTATTTAAAAAAAACACATATGCTTGAAAATGGGGATATCTCGAACTAGTAACTAGTATTCATGCAGGTTAGTTCTACCAACTATCTTTAATGGGATTCTGAGAAAATCAAAAAATAAATAAATAAATAAATATAAATATATATATATATGTATTATACATACATACATATAGATAATGGATTTGCAAAATTATACACCATTACTAACATATCTTAGGGTACTATACTACTGGTGGATTGCTAAAACATTACTTATCAGACTATTAATGAAGTTATAAAAATATATAATGGGCTTAGAAACCAACTATTATAATGGGTCTATTCCTACCAACTACTAAAAGGTTGTCATAGAACATTATAAACATGTCATATAAAGTGATAAACCACCAGTAAAATATACCATCTGGTAAGCTAACATAACCATGGAACATCACCATGGTTCATGGGAAATTCCACTATAAATGGCAATTTTAAATAGTTTTTTGGATCTTTACCAGAGGGTAACTAATGACCGTAAATTTCCATTAATACCAAAAGACTAAAGGATTAAAGTACCCATGTAAGATTGACCTAGAAACCACCAGTAAAATATAACTAATGACCGTAAATTTCTACCACCTTCAAGAGTGACTTCTGCCAGACTCCAGCGTTCCAGGTGATTTTAAAGCTGTACAGCTTCCTCAGCAGGCCATAGTTTCAGGCCCATGTCACCTTGGCGGCGACTTGGGGCTTGAGATTTGGGCTTGATTTTGAAAAGCAAAAAAGGCACACGTCGGGATAGAAAATCAGATATTAGTAACTATTACAATGTTTGGTTTAATGGTTATATATTCATGATAATATAACATAACATACATTATAATATAATATCTTATTTGGAAACAATACTTTACTTCGAGTGATCTCCACCTTGACATTTATACGTTTTGTTACTGGCAAATCTTCTGGCATGCTATCTGACATATCTTCTGGCATTCGATCTGGCATTCTATCTGGCATTCTATCTGACATTCTATCTGGCGTTCTATGTGGCATATCTTCTGGCATTCTATCTGGCCGTTGAGGTCCAGCGGTGCCCACTGAGCTCGGAAGGTCCCAGGTTGAGGTCCAGCGGTGCCCACTGAGCTCGGAAGGTCCCAGGTTGAGGTCCAGCGGTGCCCACTGGGCTCGGAAGGTCCCTGGTTGAAGTCCAGCGGTGCCCACTGCGCTCGGAACCTGGCGGTTGAGGTCCAGCCGTGCCCACTCAGATCGGAAGCCGGCAGTTGAGGTCCAGCAGTGCCCAGTGTGCGCGGAAGTTGGCGAAGAGATTGGCGAAGAGTTGGCAAGGCGGAAGTGGACTTGGAAGTGGAGGCAGAGGTGGTGGAGGAGAAGGAGGAGGACGAGGAGGAGGAGAAGAAGGAGGAGGAGGAGAAGGAGGAGGAGGAGGAAGAAGAGGAAGAAGAGGAGAAGAACAATTGTTATAAAATCTAACAACCCTCAGCTGGCAGGTGGGGAACAATAACATACACTGATACTAATTATAAGTAATTGTTACAATATTAATCAATATTACCACCATTTTGGCACTTATACCAAGTCACTTTATGGTGGTATATTTCTAGATCTTTGATCATCACAATGATTTAGGTTTGTAAACATGCTATGAAATCTTTGGCGCCTGGGTTTATCTGAACGTTGGGTGCCCTTAAATCCATTAGTTACAGTAATCATATTTATCCCGACATACAGCGCATTTTTTCAGGCTGGTTGGCGGTTTTAACCATCTTGAAAAATATTAGTCAATGGGAAGGATTATCCCATGTATTTTTGGAAAATAGAAAATGTTTGAACCACCAACCATCTTGAAAAATATTAGTCAATGGGAAGGATTATCCCATATATTTTTGGAAAATAGAAAATGTTTGAACCACCAACCAGCAGGTTACCATAGTTCTCTTTTTCAATCACACCCATATGGCAAATTGCGGCTTTTTTTTATGGTATATACTTGGATTTGCTTAAAGAACTCCCAAAAAAAAAACAAAAACAACCTATAGATTCCCCAGAGTCGTAGCGGATGTCCCATTGGTAAAAAAAAAGCCAAATCATCGACATCGACTCAACAAAAACATATTTCCCATTATATGGAGGGAGGTTTCCTAAAATGGTGGTAGCCCCAAATCATCAATTTTTTACGGGGTTTTCCATTATAAACCATCCAATTTGGGGTACTCCCATTTCAGGAAACCTCTATATGGGTGTCCCATATTTCCCATTCCCTTCATTTCCCCATTATATTCCCTTCAGCAAATGCAGGCGTATGGGACAATTCAAACAAAACCGTCTTCACCGGGGTGTAAATAATTTCTGACGATGAATTCAGGATAATTCAGGCCCTTCAATGGGGGATATCAGGACCTTTGAAAGAATTACCATTTACTCTCTGGATATTGAACAGTTTGTGGAACATTGCCCATTTATAGATGATTTATATATTGTGATTGACCTACAAACAGTGCTTTTCCATAGCTATGTCAAATTACCAGAGGGTAAGTTCCGCCAAATGAAGTAGTTTTGCACCTCCAAAGACATGACCAGGACATTGCCATATTTGGCACCTCTATGCTTTCATCCCCATATAATCCACTCAAACCCATTCAAAACCCATTAAAACCCATTAACACCTACAAGGTGGTGCCCCCGTTCGATAGCGTTCAGTTGGTGAACATAACTCCAATAACTATGGTTCATGATACTTATCTATAGTTCATGGTGTTTATAAAGCAATAAACATAACTGAGGGGCACCACCTTGTATTAACATCCATTAAAATCGAATTAAACCGATGTTTTAAGCCGAAATGGTGGCGCCGACTGCTAGGGCCAACACTTCAGCAATGGTGCCGTCCTCTGGCCAAAAGACTTACCTACAAACCTGGGCCATTTTTGGGGGAAATGTTGGTAACCTCTGGTAATTTAACAAAGCTATAGAAAATCACCATTTTCAATAGGTCCATCAGCTACAAATGGGCTATGGCTCCCATAGCAAACTGTTAGTTTACCAGGTGGTAGATATTCCAGCACCATGGTTCGCATCTGGGAATGAGCTGCTGGTTGTGTACGCGGATTCCTCGTGGATGCGTGGTTTCTTCCCTCCAATCGTCTACTGTCGCATAACCCGAAGTCGGGCTCCACGATAGTCTGTGCACCATGGTTTGAATGCTTTCCTTCAAGCCCAGTCAAGGCTACTGCAAGGTGAAAGGATCCAATGTTTAGAAGTGGATCCGATCCGAACCGTAAACCGTGGATATATCATGATTTATCCGTCTGCGTATTCGATGGACCATGGACCAAAGAAAAATGATCTAGTTTTCCAATCCAATCCAACCCCTTTGAAATTCATGAAAAATCAATCAAAACACTTCAAAATCAGGTTTTTCACCGTTTCTGTACAAACATAAAACCCACAATTCACAAAGCGCGATTTCCAGTGCCAAAAAAAACAGTTTGCGAACGATTTCGATTAATGCCAAGGCACTCCAGAAGGTGCACCGAGCCTGCCTCAGGGGATCATTTTTTTAAATGGCTATATGTGGGTAAAACCAAATGAATCATAAACCGCCCATGACATCCCATGACTGTTTTTTTTTTATACTACCTATAAAAATTGTGATTTGAGGGATGGTGTATGTTCTTTTTACCCACATTAATTATATATGTATATATAATTATTATATTATCTTATCTTAGTACACACATTATAGACATATCTACTGGGGCTGGGAAACTCTGATTGTAGCTCCACCTGGCTCCACTTTTATTCACAGGGCATATGACCGCTCCCAACAGCTCCGAGCTAACCGGGAGGCAGTACAACTGCATTCATTTTTGTGTATCCTTGTTATGTTACTTATATTTTAAACAACAGTCAAACAATTTTGTGTATTTAGCAATGTTTTTTTGTTTTATGGGTATACAAGGCTTTCAATGTTTTTTGAACGGCTTGAAACATGTTTTGAGTTGTATAAATGAATTGTATAAACCACTCACAAAACATTGGGGATCATCATCCAAAAAACGGTGGTTACAAAAGGAGCATGGGTCACATTCGCCACCAGCCTGGTTGATCCTATTTGCGTAATGGCTTAGACTCAGACACCAACAACAACCTGGTTGGTGGTTTCAACCCCTCCGTAAAATATTAGTCAAATGGGAATATTATTCCCAATATATGGAAAAATAAAATTCATGTTCCAAACCACCAACAAGTATACTTTGGGTACAGTACTTGGGTTGGTGCACTTCCAGTTGTAAGTGGATAGAATTCACCATGGCAGTAGGCGCCGAAAATATCCCAACTGATGGGTGTTTAAAAATACCATGGCTATACCGTTATACCCATAGATCTGGGTAAATTACAATGTTTCACTAACCTGAATTATTCGGCCATTTGGGGATGATTTCCCTAAAATAAACCATGATTCCAGGGTTCGGGAGAGCAGTGAGGTCATGATGAAAATTACCCAGATGTGGGATATTCAAGCAAACATAGGGATGGCAATGCTCCCATGTATGGAATATTTACCTACAAAACTGGGCAATTTTGGGGGTAAATGCAAGTAAATATTGCATACATGGAGCATATGGGCATAGATGCAACCTCATGCCTCATGCCCAGAAGATGGGTACAAAAAATCTTATTCACAGCTGACCAGGATGGGACTTCTAGTCCCGTCACCCCGTTCCGCACGAAACAATCTAATCTATAGATGATGATATATGGTCTATCTTCCAGAGTTACCTAATGGACATCATGAAGGTATATTATAAACTACACGGTGGTGCCCCCTAGTTAGCAAACTTGGTTTGTAACAACAACTGTTGGGTTTTTTGGGGGGAGATATCGAACTAGTGGGGGGGGCACCACTTTGTAGTTTATTGGGAGGATATTTGGGATATGGAATATACATAATATATATATATATGCCATGGTCTCGCGTTGCACAGTGACCATGGCACTTGCCTCGGAACTTGATCTGCTTCATCCAATAGGTGTAAAAATATTTCTGTTACAGGAATGTTTTTTTCTTTTGGGGGGTCAAAACGTTATACCCTCTGGTAAACTAACATAGCTATGGAAAATCACCATTTTGAATGGTAAATCCACTATAAATGGCAAATTTTCAATAGCTACGTTAGTTTACCAGAGGGTAAATAATATGAACCCCCATCCAAACAATACTAAGCACACCCAGAAACCAACTATAGATGATATATCATATATCTACCTATCAGAAAAGATAGAGTTTGTGAATTGACCACCCTTCATTATAGATAATATATCATATATCTACTTAAACAACCCTAGTTACTGGAGTTCAAAAACATTTTTTTTACTAAATCCCATTAAATCCAATTATATACATCTCATTAAACTACCATTAAAACCCACACAACATCCCAGTAACCATCAGGTATGTTGGCATCGCCGGGACCCTCCAAGGCCCCTGGCTCTGGACCCATTGTGGCGTCCAAGTCTATGGTGTGGATATCTTTGAAGAGGCTTGACCTTCAAAAAAACACTGTGGTTCTCCTATTGGACATCAATGGTTTCCAATGGTTTCTGGGTGTGTTTAATTCTTACCCTCTGGTAATTTGTTACAGTTTCCTATTGAACATGGCCATTTAGTTCGTGGATTGACCCATTGAAAATGGTGATTTTCCGTACTTATGTTAAATGGTTTCCAATGGTTTTAGAATGGGATAATAAGGGTTTAGAATGGAATATGAATGGCTCATAATGGGATATGGGTGGTAATTGCAGCTACGGCCTGGGTCATACCAGTTATAAGTACCGAACTAACCCCATTTATAGAATGTATAATCAAATTTATAGCTAGTTATAGCTAATAGTCATGGCCATAACTGCAGTGGTTCTCCCACTGTCTGTGGGTATTTTAAAAGTTGGTTGCCAACTTTGAGGATTATCAACTGCTTAAAGTTTATTAAAAGTTGGTTTCAACTTTAAGGAATCCAACCATTTATTTTGATCGAGCATCTTGAGCTTTAAGGGTTATCAAATGGTTGGGTCCGTCGGTTATCAACTGAACATCATAACTGGTTGGTTGTTTTTAACATGTTTTTACCATCGTGAAAAATATGAAAGTCAATGGGAAGGATTATCCGATATATTATGGAAAAGAAAAATGTTCCAAACCACCAACCAGTTATCCTTAACCGGTTCAACAAGTATTACACCCGCAGTGATCTTTATAATGTGGGGCCTCCGTCTATAGCTAAGTTGGTAAACATCACTCCAATAACTATGGCATAACTATGGTTTATGATACGCACATGACTATAGTAGTCGCGGAGTTTATAAACCAACAACATAACCAGGGGGCACATTGTAGTGGTTAGTAATTAGATATGATATTTAGCGAATTTAGTGGTTACGGCATGATTTAATTAAACATGATTTTTGTGGTCAAAACAATGGTTACTAACGAATATCCTGAGTGGTTATATTAGTTGTTAATACATAATAATTGATAATGATCTTTAGTGGTTTATAATGGCTACTAAATTGCCAGGCCCCGGTGAAATGGAAATCTGAAAAGCATATGTGAGGTGAGTTCGCATGAGAATCTTGAAAAGAAAAACAGTGATTGACCAAACAATGAAAACATGGATATTATTGCTTTGATTGCTTGGTGGATTTGTTTTTTCACTTTTTATTGTAACCTTTGATACTACATGGGGAGAATTGGGATATGAAGAACCGATCCAAAGTAGCTCTGCGAAAATCCAAGGATGCTCTGGATATGAATGGTGAAAGTCTCCGTGCGCTATGGTCCTTTGTTCCCCAGATCTTTGTGTGGGGTAGCTTGTTTTTGGTTCTGCATCCCGCCCGCGCCGCCTCCCGCCTCCCGCCTCCCGCCTCCCGCCGCCTCTTCTCCACCACTTGTCCACACACAACTTGTCCACACACAACTTCCTCACACACAACTTGTCCACACACAACTTCCTCACACACATCTTCCTCACATACAAATTGTCCACGCACAGCTTGTCTTCACACAACTTATTCACATACTTCCTCCTCACACACAACTTGTCCACATATGCGTGGCAGGCGTGGCACTTGGTGACATCGACCGTCACCTTACTTCACTACTCCTTCACTACTACTACTACTACGACGACGACGACTACTACGACTACTACTACGACTACTACGACTACTACGACTACTACGACGACTACTACTACTCCTACTCCTACTCCTACTACTAGTCCTACTACTACTACTACTACTACTACTACTCCCTACTGCTCCTACTACTCCTACTACTCCTGCTACTGCTACTGCTACTGCTACTGCTACTGCTACAACTTATTCACACACTTCATCACACACAACTTGTCCACATACCAGGCGTGGCACTTGGTGACAGCCACCTTCACTTTGCGTGGCAAGCGTGGCACTTGGCGACATCGAGCGTCACTTGGTGACAGCCACCTTCACTTGGCGTGGCAGGCGTGGCACTTGGTGACATCGACCGTCACTTTGTACAACTTGTCCACACGCAACTTGTCCTCACGCAACTTATTCACACACTTCATCACACACAACTTGTCCACATACCAGGCGTGGCACTTGGTGACAGCCACCTTCACTTTGCGTGGCATGCGTGTTACTTGGTGACAGCCACCTTCACTTTGCGTGGCAGGCGTGGCAATTGGTGACATCGACTGTCACTTTGTGTGGCAGGCGTGGCACTTACGGCACTGGGCCGGCTCTGGTGGCGCACCGGGTTCCCAGCTGACGCCGTGGGCGCCTCGGCTCTTTGCGTGGCAGGCGTGGCACTTGACGACAGCCACCGCCACTTTGCGTGGCAGGCCTGGCACTTCGCTACATCCAGCATCACTTTCCGTGGCAGGCGTGGCACTTACGGCACTGGGCCGGCTCTGGTGGTGCACCGGGTTCCCAGCTGACGCCGACATCCAGCGTCACTTTGCGTGGCAAGCATGGCACTTACAGCACGTGGGCGCCGCGGCGTCTTGCATGGCAGGCATGGCACTTGGCGAGAGCGAGCGTCACTTTGCGTGGCAGGCGTGGCAATTGGCGACATCCAGCGTCACTTTGCGAGGCGTGGCACTTACGGCACTGGGCGGGCTCTGGTGGCGCACCGGGTTCCCAGCTGACGCCGTGGGCGCCGCAGCGTCTTGCGTGGCAGCCGTGGCATCCACCTTCACTTTGCGTGGCAGGCGTGGCACTTGGCGACATCCAGCGTCACTTTGCGTGGCAGGCATGGCACTTATGCTTCTGGGCTGGCTTCTTTGCGTGGCATTTGCGTGCAAGGCGTGGCAGGGGCGACATCCACCTTCACTTTGCAGGGCAGTTATGGCACCTATGGCACATGTCACGAACTCAGACAGCCACCACACATCACATCACAATTATATAGATGAGGCAAGACACACAAGTAGGTACACAATTTCATTCCGGAAGCTTTGATACGCCGTGTGAAGAAGTGAAAGGATAGGAAATAGAAATAGGAAATAGAACATTAGAACATGATTACATCATACCAAGACAAGACATGCTACCGTGAACTGTGGTCAGGTACCAATCCGCTCGTGGGAAAAAATAAGCGTGCTTGCGGCCCGTACATACATACATGCATGCATGCATACATACATACACAGATACATACCATCTTTCACATACTTTTCGATCCTTCACCATCTCCTTTGTCTTTCCTTCCTTCCCGGTGGGATGATTACCAGCCACAAGGCATGCAGAAAGGGTTTGCAAAATTTGCGGTTTCATAGTGCAGAACATTACATACAGACTTGCATGCATACATACATGCATACCATCTTTTCACACGTAATCTTTCTTTGTCACACACGGTCTTTCACATACAACTTTGTCCCGCGCAACTCTGTAAACTTCTCGATCCTTCAACACCTCCTTTGTCTACACACACACACACACACCTACCTCACACACACAACCAGCACACAACTTATCACCACACAACTTCCTCACACACAACTTACACCTTGTTGCACACGCCAATCCTTCACCATCTCTTTTCTCTTTCCTGCATTTCCCATGCCATCTTGACCTTTCTTTTGCAAAAAAACTTGTTGGAAGAAGTTGACATGTGGGGTTATCCGGCCCTTTATTTTTTAAAAATATATGACTTGGATATCTGATGACTGTGTTGATATGGGTCAATTTTAATATGTTTGTTGAACGTTGATACTTCCTACCCGAGGTTAACAGTTTTTGATTTCTTGTTGGTTGCTATAGTTAGATGTCTAGGACGCAACGGGAAGAACCGATTTTCACAAACCGAATTCCGAATTCTTATTTCACAAGTCAGAACGCTGAACAAATTATCTAACTTGGTTTATTGTCAACCCAAGACCAATAATTAACCTACGTGGGGGTGAATCCCACTTCGCAAGTAGTTGGCAAACAACCCAGTGATATATGGAGAAAAGAAAACGGTTCTAGGAATGCTAAGCCCCTTACGTTGGAGATGACGCCGAGTGAATGGATCAGGTTTTACCATCAGGGCTCTGATTATACCATTTGTACTTACAAGGCAGGGAAGCCCAGTTGTAAGTTGGTTTATTAACCCATCTAGCTCCAAGTAGGATTGTAATCGCAATAAACCTTTGTCAACCTACATATATCATCTTATATCTACTTATAAACTAATTTAGCCAACTATGAGGCCCCACTTTTTTGCACAAACTGCAAATTTGCATCATACGATACAGTACAGTTCCTTGACATATGTAAACAAGTGGAACCATGGCCCATCTTGGTGTTTTGCCCTTGGACCCGCGCTATGCTAGACGAAAGCAAGCAGGCAGCCAGCAGCGCAGGATAGCCAGCCAATTGAAGGTTTGTGATTGACCCATTGACCCACCTACCACATCTGTCCGCATGCTTTTTGCATTGAGGATTGCGCTACTTGCCGTTGTCCGCGAATGCAGCGCTGGTACATGCGGAAGGTCTCAGCCGGGTACGAAGAGCTGCACCTGGCTGTTGTTGAGGCTCTGCAAACTGACCGACTGCACTCTGGGCGACAATTCTTGCAGGTCTTCCGGCATGTCCTCGTCGAGGGGCACGAGTTCCTCATCTCCCACATCCTTGTCCATGGGGTACCCTCCGCCTTGGCAACATCAAACAGTCCGAGGTGGCAACGGTAAGTCCTCACACACCTGACCAATTCTCCAAGCTCCTGGCGACCATCTTCCAGTTATAACCCCAGTTATAAGTGGGATAAGTAGGATTAATTCACTTATAACTGGGGTCATAACCCATTTGCTAAGTGGGATGAGCCACCAAGTACAAATCCAATAGTTGTTGTAAACCGATTTAGCTAACCAACTGGGGCACCACCTCAGAATGGACCAACCTTTTTCAGTAACGATCTTAAACTACCAATCCAATTCCAAGGGAAACTACGGTTTTGCACACTTTTTCTGGTTGGTGGTTTCAACCCCTCTGAAACAGATTAGTCAAATTGCATCATCATCCCAACTATTGGGGAACATAAAATTCATGTTCCAAACCACCAACCAGTTTTATAGTATCTACCCGCTGGTAAACGTTTACAGCTTGCGAGCTGGAAAATCACCTGTGAAAATGGATAAATCCACTATTTCTATGGCCATCAGACTATGATTCACCAACCTTTCTGGCAAATATCCCAGAAAAATATCCAATTCATAGTAGATATCCCATGGTTTTGAGTGGTGAAAACCATTAACCCATTAATATACAATTTCATAGTAGATATCCCAACAATATCCCATGGTTTTCACCACTCAAAAACTCCAAGCGCCAAAGCGTCACAGGATCTGTTGTTGGGATCCGGTGACGGTTTGTGTCTTTTGACGTTGATTCACTGCATCCCCATACTGTCGGTGGTGCCCCCAGTTCGAGTTCGCGTTCAGTTGGGGGCCACATAACTCCAATTTCACTGTGGTTTATGCAATAACTATGGTTTATGATACCCAAATAACTACATGGTATTATATAATACACTTGATTTAATCCAACTAGTGATATATCGAACTAGTTTTCATTGGGTTTATAGACCAGTTTATAACTAGGGGGCACCACCTTGTACTTACCAGTCGAACAAAAATGATAATGATTTGATCATTAAAAAATCGTTCTAAAATGTTCTTAAAACACTAAACAGTAAATAAAAGATACCCACATCAAAACTACGAAACATTCAAAAACAAAAACACTGATGAAACCTACATTTTGTTCGTAGTCCATGGGCCCCATGATAGGACCCCTATTCTCATAATTGTCCTTCTTTTGGGGGCGGAAATTCTAGATCATCTCAAAACAAAAAACATGTTCAATCCAATCAACTCAACATCAAAATCAACAAACCCAACATTAAAAAAACATATATATATATATAACAACATTCCGTCATTTTGCATTGAACCCTTTATACATTGTCAATCTTAGACACCCTGCAAAAAAAAAAATATCTATTTTTCTTGCTGGTGAACGTATATATTCCCATACCAAAAGACTAGTTAGGATTAGTTTGTATCCATGTAAGATTGACCTAGTTAATAGTGATTAATAATGGTTAATAATGGTTGGTCATGGTTACTAATCCCAGGTTCTTTATATAAATATATATATATATATTGAGATACCATAAATAATCCACTGGTTGGTGGTTTTAACCATCTTGAAAACAACGTCTTTTCTTCAATCAATCTCGATGAATTCCGCAAAGCACCACGAAAATCCCGGACAAAAACGCCGTGGCACGGCAACTCATTGGAGTCCAAGGCCTGGTGCAAGGCGTTTTGCGCGCAAATTCGACGCATGGAAGACATGTGTATATGATATTTTGCGTATATCATATAATGAAAATGTATATAATGGCTGCATAATGAACAACATGTTTTTTGATGGATTGGAAATTGGTAGCTTTGCCGGTTTTTACAGTATATTTTGATGAAACAAACATTTTACATTACAAATGGGCATATAATACTTTTTAACCACACGTTTACAATTTCAAAAAACATTTATAAATTATTTTAAAAAAATATCCTGGGTTTAAATTAAAAAAATACAGCACAAGATAATGAAAGAAATGAAAGACATGAAAAAATGAAAGAAATACAAAACTTACGGGGTATTTTATTTCAATATCTAAATGAGTAAATGGAATATCAACATCATTAGAATATCAACATCATTGGGAGTTTGGATCCATACATCTATTTCACATTGCAAATTTTATTCATCCATATTTCAAATTCATAATATTTTCCGTAGGATGTCGGATGTAAAAAATATATGTATGTGAATTGCTCCACATACAGCAGATATTCACCAATATGCGATATATTCGAATTTTAAAAACATGGCATCGACCAGAATGACATAGTAACTGAAATAGTTCTATATTATAGATTGTTATTTAAACATAATCCAACTATGTTATATTAGTTAGGGAACATATATATAAATAACAAAAAACACTAATAATAAATGGTTATAGGTGGATGCTATTTCGAGAAGAAAACGTTGAGGTATAATGCTTGTTAAATAGCATCTAATTCTTAGCTTTTTACTATGAACAGCTATTCTATTCTGATAGCCAAGTTCAACGACCTATGAGCAAGTTATAGTTAGATGGTTGAATATATATATATATATATATATATGTATACACACTTGCATACACACTTGCATACACATATGAAAGCTTACTTAATAGGTATACGACGACAATCATCGACAATCTATATGATAACTAATTTCTGACAGGTATATGCCAGCAAACAAAATAATAGCTAAGTTAAACTTTACGTTAGAAGATCTATGAGTAAAACTCAGATGTATGGTAATATATGATAGCTAGCGTAACACATCGTAACTATAGATAGCAACCTTAATGTATGGGTGCTAACCTGTGATCATAAAGGAATTTGACTCATATAGTGCAAATATAAGTTTGTATGGAGTATAAGATGCTCATTTTTTGGGAAATTTCATCATACATATATACCATATTATATATATATAACGGTTACTTGGTGGCCCGCCCTGCTTAGTGGATTATATCCCTGCTGAAAACTGAACAGAACCACAAAAAACATAAATCCTCGATACGGAAAAACTATGCCAACAGAGCTACAACATGAACATCTGTCATAGCAGCCGCCGATGATGCGGATTAAATCTGGGCAAAGGAGTCACTGAAAAAAAACGGGACGATGGATGAACAACAGCGATTTCAGCTGCAACACTGGCGCTTAAACCCGTCAACTATACTGCTAAAGCCACGTTATTCCTAGCTTCCTCATCATCCAAAAACACCCGTAAACAGACAGGATTGGACGGATTGCAAAATTGGACAGGTTGAGGCTGTGACACTTCATCAAGGGCTTCGACGATCACTGCTTGGCGTTGGTGTTGACCTGGTCCACTGTGACGACATTTGCGGCTTCTCTGCTGCGATTGGGACACTCGGCACGCCAGTGTCCGCGTTCGCCACACAATTTGCAGTTGGTCTTGGCAATTCGCTCAGACAATGAGCTCTTGCCTCTACTCTTGGCGAATCCTTTCTTCCCTTTTCCTTTGGACTTGGAGGAGGCACCTTTGGCCGATGATGGCCAAAAGCCCTCAAAAGCCATAAAACTTCTTTCGTTCAGTCAGCTTCTGACAAGCTTCCTGATGGCTGATTAGGGCACTCTGCAGATCTGGGGTACTCTAGCCTCAAGATCTTGCTCAAAGCTTTGAATTGTCAGTGCATGGGCATCACCTTGGCTAACAAGTTGTTCTACCAGTTCGAATTCATCGGTGTCCTCATCATGTCCAAAAACGAACGCATGCCAGGCTGGCTCCAGATTGTCCGGAACATCAAAGGCCTCTTCTTCGGTAAAGTTCGCAGGATGCACTTTCTTCTTTGGTTCATTCCGCCCAGTGAGAACGATAGTTGCCAAAGGTCAATTTCTCTTAGTTTTCACCTGTCCTCCAGCCATGGTGAGAATCTTTCTCTTTTCTTCACTGTTCAGACAGCTTTGACGTAGCAGGACAAAGGCCTTGAAGCCGGCCACCTATACATTGTCTCCCAGGTCACCAAACGCTACATTCAGTCTGTTCGTGCAAGACCTGGTCGAGTCGATGCATCACCTTTCTGCAAAACTTTGTACAAGGCACGATCGAACTTCTCAAACGTAACCACCGCTTTTTTACCATGAAGCAAGAGCTTCCAGAAGGCTAGATACTCCATGATCCGCACTTGTCAGCTTTTCGGCAGGTATGTTTCCGACCTGGTTCGAAGGTGTCCCTTACAGAGCATAGCAAGGCAAGGTGCTAACATGCCAGAGATCAAATACCATGGGCTTATGAACCACCCACAGCCACTAATCAAGGACTATCATCATGCCATCATTGGGGGGTCACCACCTATGCCAGGTTGACCCATGAGGTTTTGAATGAAATACCATAGGGATTCAAGGGGATAGAAGTGCAGAACCAACTATGACATGAGCACATAACCAACTACACCCAAGTAAACACAACTAGTTTTCATCACAATACGGATGATGCCAATGAGCATTTTAGGGGTTGATATTGATAAAATTTGCCAACAGCGCATTGTGTTCATCGACAGATTGGGTATGTATCCATACTTTGTTGGTTGTTACCCTCTTGCTATTTAACATACCGGTAGCTATGGAAAATAACCTATTTACAGAGTATAAAAGCTGATGATTTACCGAAAAAACATGATGTTCCATAGCTACGTTGAACAAACAAAGGGTATATCTGTTGGTGTTGAAGACTTCAGTTTTTGTTCATCAATCTGGGGCCCACGCGACGTCACGGCGTAAATAAATAATGTAAATAACGGTTAGAATTGGGGTAGCTACCCCCAAAGGTTTTTCCAGTCATTTCATGTCCGGGATAGTTTTAGTTGGTTATTTATTAATTACTGTATTTTACAATGCCATCTGCCAACCGACTTAGTCGCTGAACAACATAAATGAGAAACAGTAAAGTGATGTTTAAAATACATGGTTATGAATCAAAACCTTGGGACCGTAGGTACCCTAAGATAACTATCCATTAATATGGTAATCAAAAAAATCTGACACATATCTTTGGGCAAACCCATATCATAATTTACCATCTGTTAATCAAACGGGGCACTAGAAAAGCACCAAACTTAATCACATGGTTTTGAAATCATACGGCACATTCAAACCTCTAGGACTCCTACGGGATTTCCCAGCTGGAAAATGCCCAAAAAAACAACGTCCCTCAGCCTCCGATGAGGTGATCAGGGTCCGCGGCCTGCAATTTGGGTATGTTTTGCTGTACATAGGCAGATTCAGCTATAGGTCAAAATTCCAAAAGTAGATGCTGAAAAGAACTGTTATATATTTTCAGTGGTACATCAAACAAAAGTGTGAATACATAATACATTGAAAAATATGAAACTCCAATTGTTTAACTGCGTATGCAAAACATGTGTCTTCAACGTGTTGGGTATCAAGGGCACATTCTGTTGTGTGTGTGTGTGCGTGTTTCTTTGTAATGATATTTCAACCGGACTTGGGTACCCCAACAGTATCCCCCGAGCTATGTGCCAACTGGCGATTTCCAAGTCTTTTGTGAACGATGTTAGGCTGGAAAAAATGGGATATGTCGGATATGTCATATGTCCTTCGCGCACAGGACCCGGGGCACACACATTTGTTAGCTAGGTGGTATGCATATCCGGTTACTTGGAAAATCCCGCTCAGTATTTGGATCATAACGCTGGTTAGAAAATCCCATAAGCCGCAAATCCCATTTGTAAAATTGGGTTTTAGCCATTGCAACCCCTCTTCTTAACCAGTTATGAAGCGCGGTGATTCTCAAAGTATAATCCCTTTTCCCCCATGACCAGAAACACGGGGCAGAAGTGCCATCTTCGATCCCCAATGCAGAGTTCACTGCCAGTCAAGCTTTGGAGCAGGGCGTCCTTAGGGCGTGGAAACTCGGCTGTGGACGTTTGGTTTGGTTCCTAAATCAATGAACTAACTTGGGATGCTTGCGCCAGCTACAATGAGGAGAGGACACAAGTTTTGAATTTGGTCGGCGCCCGTATGTCTCTCATGGGCCGATCATGTGTTGGCCACTGTTGAGATGGGCCCACTCTCCATGCACATTCTTAAGCTTACCTGGCAGTGCACGGCAAGTCGTCACAAGTTGTTGCACGCGTGGAATGTCGCCGCACAGCCTTAGAATGTTCCAGATAGGAATTTCAAGTTGTCTAGGGTCTTCAGCAGCTTGGGCGCGAGAACAATGGACATCTAAACCGCCAGACATTCCGGAAAGAAAACAACATGAAATTCAATCAAGAAAAGCCAAGCAGAGTGGCAGAACCTGGTCGACAACTACTGGGATGCTCGCTCTCGGAGAGTGATGATTCCGGGGTACCATCTGGTTATTTAACAGTTCGCCATGGAAAGATCCACCATGCTATTAAGAACGGTAAACCATTTATTTCTATGGGCCATGGCTTCCGTGGCGAACTGTTAAATAACCAGATGGTACTCCCATTTTAGGAAACCTCCCTTTCTTGGTGATGGGATCTCACTGCCCCACTGCGTGCTTTGGGAACTCATCCCGTGCTACTGTGGATGGGCCAGCGAAATCCGAAGCGCCAGTTGATAGATGGGCAAAATCCCCATCGATTTTGTTTGGGTTGAAAAACCATCCGAACTTGGTGGTGCAGGATCTCGCAACCATTCACAGTATGTTCCTGTTTTCTTGTTGGTGAAGTCCATACTCCTCAGTTCACATTGTTTACATCGCAGTATAGTTGTTGATGATGCATTCAAATAGGCTGAAAAAAAGGAGGTTTCATTCATATAGGATTTGGTGATGAATAGGGTTTAACTGATGGAACATCTATTTTAGTAAGATTTTCCATGATTATTTCACCATGCAGCGAATTTTTGGGGTACCCCCATTTATGGAAATCCCCAAATGACTCATCCCCTGGCAGGGTGAAAAAGAAGTAGTCACCTCCGGCCTTGGCAGAGCATCTCAGCAAGGTCTATTCTGGAGCCTTTCTTTTTGGATGTTCATCAGGGGAGGCAAAAAATGAGCCGTATATTCACCGAATCTTTTGAGAGGGGCAATGTTGTCTATATGTCAATGTACATATACTGTCTATAAATCTATTTATATATATATACACAATGTTCTAGCGTATATGTGGGTGGGCAACTCTTAGTATTTCCTTGGCTCCTCATTTAATAGGCAACATGGATACAACGCTCCTGGACGACCCCCGGAAAAAAAGGTTGTAGCAGCTTTTGATGGCTGAATCAAACAAAACATGTCATCATGTCCATCTCGTTAAATTCAATTGTTGATTGTTCAATACAATGTATTGCCCCCCCAGGTTTGTTTATTGGTTTATAAAGCCCATGAATACCATAGTTATTTGCGTATCATAAACCATAGTGAAATTGGAGTTATGTTCACCAACTTGGCTATCTTGGGGGCCTCACATTGTATCATTCAATCTCACTGAATGGCTGTTACTTGCCAATTACTGGGCTGGATGATTCTTGAAGAACTTGTTGCACACGTTGCAGTGATGGCTGACCCGGGCGGTCTTCGTTCAGCAGTGTATTTCGCTGCAAGTGTAGAATTTGTGTATGTAAACATGCACATACATAATACATATACTACTTAAATATGCATTTATTTTATTCATGTATGAAGGTGTGAATCACATTTGTAAAGTGTGTACCTTTGTACCCTAAACATTATACATGTATGTGCACATGCGAACATCTTCAAGAAACAACGCAAAGGTGTGTCTGTGTGTGTGTTGAAGTATCAACCATCACGACCACAGCAACGAACCCAATGATAGGAGGACTGGATTCTACATGAGTATAACTAACATGTCGGATATTGGGATATGTCACCATCTTAACCTGGTTGGTGGTTGAGCCTACCCCTCTGAAAAAATATGAAAGTCAGTTGGGATTATTCTTCCCAATATATGGAAAAATCAAACATGTGCCAAACCACCAACTAGGT